CTCTCCCGCTTTGCCCGAGCCGCCGTTTCAAGGCAAGTGGGGAGAGGGCAGGAGCGCAGGAAAATCGAAAGGGCATCAAAGAAACAGGGCAGTCGTTAAACTGCGCCAAGAGAGGAAAAACGCTTTGAAATCACAAAGGTGAAGTCGAGAACGGCAGACTTTTTTTTTTCTTTTAATGTTCTCAGGACAAGAAAATCATCAGGTTCGGCGAGGCTCAAAAGTCTAAATTTAGCAAAAGTGCGAGAGCGGGGCCGGTGAGCCGAGGCTGAGCCGCAGCTTTGCGGTTGGCTTTATTTGCTTCCCTGGAGGAGAGGAGGGAGGCTGGGATGTGGGAGCGGGTCTGGCCGAGACGGAAAAAAGCCGCGGCCAGACGGAGCTTTCCCCGCCGGGCTCGGCTCACCTTTCCGCAGGTTTCGGGTCGGGGCGAGGAGGCGTTTCGGAGCTCTCCCTGCTCGCACCCTCCTGAGCTTTGCAAACGCCTCGTTTTTCAGCCCCGTTTTATGTCTGTCTTTCAGTCCCTGGGTGTGAAATACTGTCCTTGCTCCTCTGGGCGTAAAGGGTCGGGCTTTGACCCCTAAGGAGATGATGGAAGGGGCATTTTTATTAGGGTCTGATATTCAGAAAGGAAAAATCTCTCCGTTTCTTGGCGGCTGAACTTTAGTGCCGCTCTCTTTGCACCAAAGAAAGGCGACAGGCGGAGGGCTCGATCCCTCGCACTGACTGTGAGCAAGAGCTGGGTTTGGGGGATTCAGCAGAAGGCTTCATCCAGGCAAGGCCTTAGGGGAAGACCAGAGAGGAGGCAGAAGCGCGGCTCTGTGTGGTTGTGCCGCCTGTACAGACAACGAAAAGTGTGCATATCTGAATAACTCATTAACGCACACACTTGCACGCACGCCAGTGTATTTACTCCACACATCCGTCTGCCTTGCTGCCCGTCCGCCTGTCTCTCCATCCGTCTGTCCGTGCTCGCCCTAAAAGGGGTTCTCGGTGTTATTTTCCCAGCCCCCTTCAGTTTCCAAACTCTTTCGCTTTGGGCTGCTTCTTGGCCACGGTTAAGTCTGAACTGCAAACCTGGGCCGGGGCTCAGCTCGGCCCGCGGCCGTGCCAGGCAACAGCTATGGGCACAGGGTTGTTTCCTGGTGGTTTTTTTTCCCCCTTTCCAGCCTTTGCTCTGTTTCCTGAGTGCCGCCGACCCCCTTCCTTCTCTTTTCTTGGTTTCAGGGCTGCTCCCTGCCCTTTTCTCCAGGCATCTAGGCTTTCGCAGACTGCCACGGAGCGGGAGGACGTGTGCGCGGGCGTCGAGAGAGGGGAGCGAGGGGGACCCCTGCCCAGGCCGGGGGCAGAGGGGGGGTGTCTGTCCCTCGGCGCTTGCGGAGGGACATCCCTGCCCCACGGCTGGCGCCCTCTCGCCCGCCGGGGATGCGCCAGGCCGAGGAGTCCCGGGGTGTCCAGGGGCTGTGGCAGCTTTTTTTTTCGAGGGCAAAAGCCCCCCGGACCAGCGGGGGAAGGGAAGGACACATCGCAAAAGGTGATTTTAATCTCAGCCTGGATTTTACCGTCGGGGACTGCTCCTCTGCTCTCTTTGTGATCTTCCCCTCCCCTCCCC